TATGTCACTATCCAAATTAATTTGAAGAAAATAACTATATAATTTTATTTTATCTCAGAGTCCAAATATTCAGATAAAATACAGTGAATTCAAATGTATTTCCAAATGGGGTTCAAATGTAAAAGTCATTGTATTTGTTAATCATTAATCACTTGAACCAATAAAAATAAATTAAAAACCCACAAATTTGTAAAGAAGAGAACACTGCAGAACCAAGAGTTTCTTTTGAAATGTAGGAAACAATCCTGTAGGTACTGAAGTTTTATTTATCCTATTATAATATAGATTATAATATAGAATTATGTAAGGGGCACCACTAAAGAAACAGCAAACTCTTTCAAGGCAAGAAGTAACATCTATTCCAGTTATTGCAGGAAAAATGTACTGCTTTTAATAATTTTTAACTGAGATTTTAGCCACTAAAATTTTAGCATCTACTTCTTGGATCATACATCTACTTGCTTGCTTATGAGTGTTCATTCCTTCCCTAATTTTAGGAACTCTAATGTATAAGACCTTTAGAATCATCTTAAGTTTTAAATTGAATACATTCCATGTATTAGACCAATGATGGCGAACCTTTTGAGCTCGGCATGTCAGCATTTTGAAAAACCCTAACTTAACTCTGGTGCCGTGTCACATATAGAAATTTTTTGATATTTGCAACCATAGTAAAACAAAGACTTACATTTTTTATATTTATTTTATATATTTAAATGCCATTTAACAAATAAAAATCAACCAAAAAAATGAGTTCGCATGTCACCTCTGACACGCGTGTCATAGGTTCGCCATCACTGCATTAGACAGTAGGAGCTGCCCACTTCCTATGTTGCATTGAAAATATTTTCATATCACATTTTAGGGTGACCTTTCTATTAGTAATAGGACACACTTAACAGTGGCTTTAATTTGAAAAAGCAGTTACCGAAGATTTATGTGCTTAAATATGCTCTTTCTATATTGAAATCAGTTTAAAACTTCATTCTACATGTAAGGATTTCCAAAATATGAACTGAAATCAAAGTGATAGGAAATAGTTAAAATTTATATGGAAAGAAGACTAACGTAGAGGAACCTTCTGTCTCATGAAATAAATAACAAAATAGCATTTAAACTGGAAGACAGATTGCAATCGAAATTGGACTAGTAAATTACATAAAATGGGAATTAAATCTGCACAAGCGCAGGAATAAAACTCTTTTTACTCCTCTCTAACAATTTCACTTACTGCCTGCGAGGGAGTTAAACAGCTGACCTGCAATCCATACTGCGTGGCTGAAGAGGGAGATCTTTGGGGGGAGAGAAAAGAATCAGCTGACCTGAACTAACCTCGATTAGCTATAGTAAGTGGAGTGGCTAAGGCATGGCTTCCTGGGGAATGTCAGGCAGGCTTTTCCACACTCTGGATTGTGGAATGGACATGTTTTATAAATGAAACACTTCTGTGTGGGGAACTCCCTGAACCTGGTCTACTTGGGGCCCGTGGTGCATGTTCCAGATGGGGAGGAAAGGCCTGCAGAGTTGCCTTTGATTCAAACTTCTGTTTGCTTCACCTGAACCTCCTGATGCCGTGTCTACCTAAACTTATTTAGGGAAGCATGCTACTGAGGTATGACCTCTGATTAATGTGAGTCTGATTTGACAATCCAATGGTATATGTGAGTTCATTTCTCTCAGGGGTGGGCAAGATGTGTGAAAGAATTGAACGTACCCATTTCAATCATTTAGTGGCTTAAAATGAAGTCCCTTTCAGGTTAATCAATTTCTTTTTTTTTCCAAAATAAAATAATGTGCTTTATTGTGCTTTATTATTTTATGATATTCTTCAGTACAGTTATTTTTCAGCTAGATTTTTCTTCTTTATTAAATTTATTGGGAGTCATTGGTTAATTAAACTACAGGTTTCAAGTGTACAATTCTGTATACTGCATTGAGTGCTCACAACTCAAAGTAAAATCTCCCTTCCATCACCATAAATTTGACCCCCTTTACAACTTTTCTACCTCCCTTCTCCCTACCTCCTTTCCCTCTGGTAACCACCATACTGTTGTCTATTTCTATGAGTTTTTGTTTGTTTGCCTTGCTTGTTCATTTGCCACTTTCAGTTTTATATCTCACATATGAGTAAAATCATATGGCTCTTGACTTTTTCTTAGTTAGCATGATATGATCAACATCCATCCATGTTGTCACCAAGCAATGGTAATTTACCTCCAACCACAGCAGGTGGGTTCATAACAGGAAAGTAGAAATGATTTCCAGGCCATGTAGTATATAACATGCATAGGTGACATGCTGCTTCTTCTGCAAAGAATTCAATCTTAGAAATAAGTAGAGCAATGCATGAGTGCCACCAAGTAATGGACTGGAAATCATAGTCAAACTCCTGCCATGTGCTGAGCAAGGAAGGGACAGAATCATCCCTGTCCTTTTCATATATGAAAGTTAGAAATGTATATAGAGCAACACATAACATGTGCATTTTATGTTGCCATCTTCCTCCAAATGCCAATCAGGTAGTTAACCTTTCCCCATTTTTTCTCTAAAGGCTTGAGACTCAATCCTGTATGTCCAATATTACCTGCACACCAGTCCAGTTGAAAAGATATTTGGTAGAGCAGAGCCAGATGCAAACATTTCTTTTTAAAAACGATACTGATTCTTAGAAAACTAGTGGCCTGGTGCACGAATTCGTGCACATTGAAAGAAAATTAATTAGAATAAATATTTTAATATTGTTATTTGCCCTTTCTCTATAATAGAAGTGTCAACCAAATTCACAATCGACAATGACAGATGGAAACACACGTGTGCGATTGGCATCAGCGAGAGCTTTATATGTATCGTGCATGTGTGAGTCAACTTAGCCTTTTTTAGATGTAGAATAAACTTACTTAATTAGTAATCAATTTCTTTTTTTTTCCCCTCCAAAATAATGTGCTTTATTATTTTATGATATTCTTCAGTACAGTTATTTTTCAGCTAGATTTTTCTTCTTTATTAAATTTATTGGGTGTCATTGGTTAATTAAACTACAGGTTTCAAGTGTACAATTCTGTATACTGCATTGTGTGCTACCGCTCAAAGTAAAATCTCCCTTCCATCACCATATATTTGACCCCCTTTAAACTTTTCTACCTCCCTTCTCCCCACCTCCTTTCCCTCTGGTAATCACCATACTGTTGTCAGTGCTCACAACTCAAAGTAAAATCTCCCTTCCATCACCATAAATTTGACCCCCTTTACAACTTTTCTACCTCCCTTCTCCCTACCTCCTTTCCCTCTGGTAACCACCATACTGTTGTCTATTTCTATGAGTTTTTGTTTGTTTGTCTTGCTTGTTCATTTGCCACTTTTAGTTTTATAGCCCACAGATGAGTGAAATCATATGGCTCGACTTTTTCTGATTTTTTTTTTTTTTTAGTTAGAATGATATGGTAAAAATCCATCCATGTTGTCAAGAAATGGTAATTTACCTCCAACCACAGCAGGATGGGTTCATAACAGGAAAGTAGAAATGATTTCCAGGTCATTGTAGTATATAACATGCATAAGTGACATGCTGCTTCTTATGCAAAGAATTCAATCTTAAAAATAAGAGGAGCAATGCATGAGTGCCACCAAGTAATGGACTGGAGATCATGGTCAAACTCCTGCCATGTGCTGAGCAAGGAAGGGACAGAACCATCCCTGTCCTTTTCATATACAAAAGTTAGAAATGTATACAGAGAGAGCAACACATAACATGTGCATTTCATGTTGCCATCCTCCTCCAAATGCCAATCAGGTAGTTAACCTTTCCCCATTTTTTCTCTAAAGGTTTGAGACTCAATCCTGTATGTCCAATGTTACCTGCACACCAGTCCAGTTGAAAAGATATTTGGTAGAGCAGAGCCAGAGTCAAACATTTCTTTTTAAAAATGATACTGATTCTTAGAAAATAATAATATAATTGACATTTCAAACAAAAATGAGTAGTATGAGATTAAATTATGTCAGAATGGTCAGACACTTAGCATATTAGCCTTTTTTATATATAGAAAATAATATAATTGACATTTCTAACAAAAATGAGTAGTATGAGATTAAATTATGTCAGAATTATTTTGCATTTAGGTTAGAGATTACAAATAGGTATGTGTTCCTTACAGAAATGAGTTTAGTTTTACCATCTAATCCCACTTCACTTGAATTTTGGTAGTAGTTTTCTATCTAGATGTTGCTGGATCCAAATTTTTTCTCTCTCTTGTGCCCTCAGTGTTTGGGCCCCTTTGGTTTCTTCCTGGGAATTGCAGGGGGATGACAGGCTAATTCTCTGATTGCCTGAAATTTAGATAATTACTAGGGCTACACTGCCCTTTGTACAGTTATTTTTTTAAAAGATTTTTTTTTTTTTACAGAGGGAGAGAGAGAAACATCAACTTGAGACTGATACATCCATCAGCTGCCTCCTGCATGCCCTCTACTGGGAATGGAGCCTGTCACCTGGGCACATGCCCTGACTGGGAATCGAACCTGCAACCTTTCAATGCATGGGATGATGCCCAGTCAATGGATCCACACCAGCCAGGGCTGTATGAATTCTTATAATTGAATTTCACTCTTCTCCTGAACTCTGTAATAATATATGCATCCTATGGATTGCGCAGTTTATTATGAACGATTTCTTGCAGATCACACTTCTTTCTCATCCGCTCTGTGCACTTTTTGCCCTTTCTGCCAAGCATACCTTTCTCATATTATTGTGCCTATTGCCAGTGGGCTTTTCCTTTCTCTTTGTGTTCCTATCTTCTGCTCTAAAAGCTGTTTTTCCTCTTTGGTTTTACTATTCCTCAGTTGGTGCCTGAAGGCCTTGGAGAGTAAGAAAGAATCAATTTTTGACAGATGATCTTAGAAAACCACATTCCCTGGCCTTTTAGCATTGTGCCTTTAACCTTTTTCTGCCAATCCGTAGTGCGTTATACAAACTTGCATTCTTTAAAATCAGCTGGGTTTACTTGGAGGGAGCCCTCCCATGCCATCAGGTTTTGTTTTCAGGTCGTCCACGAAGGGTGTGATCGCTTCTCTAGTGTACTTTTTGCCTCCAGTTCTTTCCTCATCACTCTGGAGTGCTGCAAGATGAAGGTTTCTGAGACTCAGATGGTGGTTTTCATGTTCATGCTCAGAAACAGAAAGCAGCTTCTCTACAGTGAGGGAATAAAATTCACACCCCGTGGCTTGGCATCCACGGCCCTATATTCACCTTGCAGTGACCTTAACCATAACCTGCTGTTCCAGTGTTACTTCTCCCTTCTCTCGTCCATGTAACCTTTCAGACCTTCCTGTGTCACTCTCTCTTCTTTGGATACACAATGTATTCTTTTTAAAAAATGTTTTTATTGATTTTTTAGAGAGAGAAGGGAGAGATATATATAGAGAGAAACATTGATGAGAGAGAAGCATCATCCATAGGCTGCCTCCTGCACGCTCCACACTGGGGATCAAGCTCACAACCCGGGTATGTGCCCTGACTGGGAATCAACCTGGTTCCTGGGTCAATTCCCAACCCCTGAGCCACATCAGCCAGGCTACACCCTGTATTCTTTAACTCCAGGGACTTAGATTACTTTGTTGGCTTCTACCTGGGCTATCTGTTCTTTACATCTCCTTTTTTTTAAAAAAAAATATATTTTATTGATTTTTTACAGAGAGGAAGGGAGAAGGAGAGGGATAGAGAGTTAGAAACATTGATGAGAGAGAAACATCAATCAGCTGCCTCCTGCACACTTCCTACTGGGGATGTGCCTGCAACCAAGGTACATGCCCTTGACCAGAATCGAACCTGGGACCCTTTAGTCCGCAGGCTGACGCTCTATCCACTGAGCCAAACCGGTTAGGGCTGTTCTTTACATCTCTTAATGACCCATGTCCTCTTTACTTTTTATGTTTAATTTTAGATATGACTGTCTCCCAAGCTTGGAATTCTCTGATACTGATAAGCTCCCCTGATATTTGAAATAAGTTAACTCTAAAGTCTCACTTTAAAAATCAGTGGCACTTACTACATATTATCTTGAGCTTCATCACATGTGCTGATTCATTAAAAATTGAAAATCTAACTTGTGCCAGACACAATTTTAGGCTCTAGTGATACAGCTGTGAACAAAGCAGACAAAAATCTCTGCCTCCTTGGAGCTCATCTTGTAGCATCATAGCTGCTTAAGAGAGTCTTAAAATGTTGAGTTATTATTACTACCACTGGTAGTGAAGCGAGAAGATCAAATGTCCACACATTTATGTATTCTTAATTAGAGGCCCGATGCATGAAATTCGTGCAAGGGGCTTGGCCCTCATAGCCATGGTGACTGCCTGGGCCCTCGCAGCCCCAGCTTCGTCTGGAAGGTCATCCGGAAGGTTGTTCTGCTGTTCAGTCTAATTAGCATATTACGCTTTTATAGATGCTTTACAGAATCAAAAAAAATTGTTTCTCATTAAGAAATGCTGCTTGATGACTGAAAAAATGTGATAGCTCTTGATGTCACGCTATTTGTTATACTAAAAAATATAGTTGCACATGGGGCCAGCACTGATTTAGGAAAAATGGATTAGAGAAGCACAAGTTCCCATCAGTGAAGACAGGAACAAGAGAAAACATTATAAAAGGACTTCCAAGGTCACCGGGAAGACCCACACTGTCCGGTGTGCATCCTGCGGTTTCAGTTTCTACTATGAGACTTTATTCAACTCTTCAGCTTTCCTGGGATAAGCATTGTGCTTACCATGACCCAAGAGAAGCCATGGCATCATTGTTATTGCCAAACCACTTCTCTTCTTGCCCTGGTACCAAGGAGGAGGTTGGTGAATGGTGCTACTTTTCCTTCTTTGTTAATAGCCAGCTCAACAAACAAACATGTTTCTTAAGAACATGGGTGAAGATTGGGATAAACTTTTCTCCCTTCTGCTTTCCTGGTTATTCAGGATCATCTACTTCTCTAGGTCTTACTGTCTGTGGGCTTATATTAATGATAATAATAAAGATTTCACTTGGCTCATGTAGGGTCTCTTCCTGTTTCAGAAATATCTTATCTCTAATATAATATTTTTTTGGAGTCCCTGATGAATGTATCATATGTTTTCATTGGAAGGTTGGTTGGATGATCACATGTTACCTAGTGGGCAGTGTGTTACTGGTATATCTTCTGGGCCCTGTTGCTCTCCTAGGTACCACTTTTGTTTCTTCTGGGTACCAGAGTACCTACTAGTCACTGCTGTTGATGACTGTTGCATCCTTGTGTAAACCACACACTGCAGGCACCTTGTCCCTGCCAGGCCCTGCTGTGCTTTTCCACTGGGCACTAAAGACTGGAGCAGTGCCTCCATTTCCAAGTAGGCATCACGACTGATAAAATTGATTTTTCATAAAACTGAAACTGCTGAGTGGTCTGTGGAGAAGTGGGGAGAGAAATATTGTCACGCCTTTCTGAGGTTTATTCTGTTGCAGGTGAGAAGCAAGAATAAGCCTTCTGCTATGCATTTACAGAATCATTTGGTCATACTGATCTTTCCTTTTTCTTTTCCCCTTTCATTTTTTCTTCCCTTCCTTCCTTCCCTTCCCTTCTCTTTCTTTCTCTCCTTCTTTTCCTTTTCATTCCTCTTTCCCTGCCTTCCCTCCCTCCATCCTTCCTTCCTCTGTTTCCTTCTCTCTCTCTCTCTTTTTTTTTAAAAACTCCCTTTTCCTAAGAACTGGCCATTAATCCAGAGATTTTTTTTAGTGTTCTTCCACTTCTTATGTAATTTGTTTCCCAGAGACTTCTAAATCTCTCAAGTAAAGACAACATGAAAGTCAAGCTCAATTGATTGAAAGTATATGCTGTAATAGTTTCTATAATACAGTAAGGACTCAAATATAACTATGGAATGAATGAATGAGATGGAATATCAATTTAGTGCAGTCTGAAATCACTGTACAAGATCATTTTTATAAGTCTTTTATTTCTTCTAAAATTCTTAGAAGCAAAGGTATGCTTTCATTAAACTATATACCTTCTAAAGCTTTACATTTAGTATTTTGCATGTAATGGCTTAAATATAGTTTTGAAGTAATGAGTGTTTTTTTTTTACATTTGTACTAAAAAAACGTAAGTGTGAGATGTATCACACAGTAAAATATGTCTGATAACTGATATGTAATCCAAAGTTCACATTTGGATAGCCTTAATATTGCTTGCATATTATAATTTAATTTTTGCTAAAAGATTGTCTGTAATCTTAAAGGTCAGATGTTTTTCTGAGAACTTCTAATTTTAAAATTTCTATGTTAACTGATTGTTAGCATTAGACATTTTGAAGAATGTTCCTTTTCCCACAAATACTTGTCATTTATCTGAGTAAAAATATTTGATCCTCTTCTAATAGTTTAATTATAACAGACACTTAGGGGTATTATATACTATTAATATTTGTTTGGCTTTCGTCTTCTTTAATGTCAGTAAGAGAAACTGAAATTTCTTTTTTATTGAATTTATTGGGTAACATTGGTTAATACAATTATATGGGTTTCAGGTTTACAATTTTATAATACATAATTTGAATATTGCATTGTGTGTTCACCACCCAAAATCAAGTCTTCCATCACCATGTTGCTCCCCTTTACCCTCTTTTACCTGCCCCCACCCCCTTTCCTCTGGTAATCGTCATACTGTTGTCTGTGTCAATGAGTTCCCCCCGCCTCAATTCCTTCACCTTTTTCACCCAGTCCCACAAGCTGCCAGTCTGTTCTCTGTATCTATGAGTCTGTTTCTATTTTGTTTGTTTATTTTGTTCATTATATTCCACATATAAGTGAAATCATATGGTACTTGTCTTTCTCTGATTGGCTTTTTTTCACTTAACATACACTATCCAGGTCCATCCATGCTGTTGCAAAATGTAATATTTCTTTTTTTTCCAGCTGAATAGAATTCCATTGTATAAATGTACCACAGTTTTTTATCCACTCATCTACTGATGGGCAATAGGGCTGTTTCCAAATCTTGGTTATCTGTAAAATAAAAACCCAGTGGTTGTGATGCCGTAATGACCAAAGACCGGTCACCAGGAGGCTGCGTGCGAAGCAAGGTGTGTGTGAGTGGGAAGGGCCGCGAGATTTCACATGCTGGGCTTCTAGTTGTATATAATGCTGCAGTGAACATAGGGGTGCATATATTCTTTCGAACTAGTGTTTCAGGTTTCCCAAAAGTGGAATCACAGGGTCATGAAACAGTTCCATATTTAATTTTTGGGTGAGGGGGTAACTCCATATTGCTTCCCACAGTGGCTGCACCAACCTACATTCTCACAAACAATGCATGAGGGTTCCCTTTTATCTACAGCACTTCTCTTGTTTGTTGATTTATTGATGATAGACATTCTGACAGGTATAAGGTGATAACTTATTGTGGTTTTAATTTACATTTCTCTGATGATTAGTGATTTTGAGTATTTTTCATATGAATATTGGTCATCTGTATCTCCTCTTTGTAGAAGTGTCTATTTAGGTCCTTCCCCCATTTTTCAATTGGGTTGCGTGTCTTCTTGGTGTTGAGTAGTATAAGTTCTTAATATATTTTGAAAATTATCCCTTTATCATATGTATCATTGGCAAATATGTTCTCCCATTCAGTGGGTTGTCTTTTCATTTTGTTGATGGTTTCTTTTGTTGTGCAAAAGCTTTTTAGTTAGATGTAGTCCCATTTATTTATTTTTTTCTTTTGTTTCCCTTGCTTGAGGTGATATATCAGAAAAAAAATATTGCTATGAGAAAAGCCCAAGATTTCACTGCCTAAGTTTTGTTTCAGGATTTTTATGGTTCTGAGTATAATAGTGAAATCTTTAATTCATTTTGAGTTTATTCCTGTGAATGGTGTAAGAAAGTGGTGTAGTTTCTTTCTTTCTTTTTTTTGCACATATCTGTTCAGTTTTCCCAGCACCATTTATTGAATGGACTATCTTTACTCCATTGTATGTTTTGCCTCCTTTGTCAAATATTAATTGACCATAAAGGCATGGATATATTCCGGGGCCCTCTATTCTGTTCCTTTAGTGTATAAGTCTATTTATCTTATTTTATTTTTTCCATCACCATTTATCCCCTCTATGTCCTTATGCTGTTTTGTTTAGTACGGTTTTGTAGTATAGTTTGATAGCAGGTAGCATGATTCCTCCAATTTTGTTCTTTATCAAGATTGCTGTGGCTATTCAGAATCTTTTGTGCTTCCATATAAATTTTTGAAATATTTGTTCCAGTTCTGTGAAATACACCATTAGCATCTTCATAGCATCTACAATACCTATCAAGATGATATTATATTGAATCTATAGATTACTTTGCGTAGTATGAGCAATTTAGTGATGTTAATTCTTCCTACCCATGAATGCTGTATATGCTTACTCTTATTTGTATATTCTTCAATTTCTTTCTTCAGTGTCTTATAATTTTCTGAGTACAGGTGTTTTACAACCTTGATTAAATTTATTCCTACATATTTTTTATGCAATTGTAATTGGTTTTCCCTTTCTAATAGTTCATTATTGGTGTATAAAAATGCAACTGATTTCTGGATATTTATTTTGTATCCTGCTATTTTACTGAATTCATTATCAGTTCTAGTAGTTTTTTAAATGGGATCTTTGGGGTTCTCTATATATAGTATCATATCATCTGCTAATAATGACAGTTTGACTTCTTTCTTCCTAATTTGGATGCCTTTTCTTTTTTCTCTTTATCTTATGTTGTGGCTAAGACTTCCAGTACTGTGTTGAATCAGAGTGGTGAAAGTGGACTTCTTTGTCTTGTTCCTGATCTTAAGGGAAATGCTTTTAGTTTTTGCCCATTGAGTATGATGTTGGCTATAGGATTGTGATATATAGCCTTTATTACATTGAGGTATTATTCCTGTATTCCCACTCTGCTGAGAGGTGTTTTTTTTAAAATCATAAATGGGTGCTGGGTTTTATAAAATGCTTGTTATGCATCTATATATATGGTCAGGTTATTTTTATCCTTCATTTTTTATATGTGGCATATCACATTTAGTGATTTTCAGATATTGTCTGAAACTTGCATCCCTGGAATAAATTCCACTTAATCATGGTGTATGATCTTTTTAATGTATTCCTGGATCCCATTTGGTAATATTTTGTTGAGGATTTTAGCATTTATGTTCATCAAGGATATTGGCCTATAATTTTCTTTCTTTATAGTGTCTTTATCTGGTTTTGGAATTAGGATAATGCTGGCCTCATAAAAAGAGCTTGGAATTTGTCTATCCTCTTAAATTTTTGAAATATTTTCAGAAGGATAGGTGTTAGTCCTTCTTTGAATGTTTGGTAAAATTCACCCATGAAGATATGCAGTCCAGGATTTTTATTTGTTGGAAGTTTTTTAAATTACTGCTTTGATTTCATTGGTTGTAATCATTCTGTTCAGATTTTCTATTTTTTCTTGATTCAATTTTGGAAGATTATATGTTTCTAGAAATTTATCCATTTTGCTTAGATTATCCAATTTGTAGGCAGGTAGTTGTTCATAATATTTCCTTACAATTCTTTGCATTTGTGTGGTGTCAGTTTTCACTTCTTTTTCATTACTGATTTTATTTATTTGGGTCCTCTCTCTTTTTTCTCAATGAGTCTGGTTAAAGGTTTTATCAATTTTGTTTATTTTCCAATAAACCAGTTCTTAGTTTTATTGCATTTTTTTAGAATTGACTTTTTTTTATTTCTACTTTGATCTTTATTATTTTCTTTCTTTTATTCACTTTTGGCTTTGTTCTTGTTCCAGTTCCTTTAAGTGTAAGGTTATATTGTTTGTTTGAGATTTTTATTATTGAGGTAGGCCAGTAATGTTATAAATTTCTCTCTTAGGACTGCTTTCACTGTGTCCTGTAGGTTTTAGGTTGTTGTGTGTTCATTTGTCTCAAGGTAACTTTTGATTTATTCATTGACCTCATTGTTGACCTATTCATTGCTTAGTAATATGTCATTTAGTCTCCATGTGTTATGTTTTTCAGTTATTTTTCTGTAATTGATTTCTTATTTTATACCACTGTGGTCATAGAAGATGCTTGATATGGTTCAAATCTTAAATTTATTGAGACGTGTTTTGTGTCCTAATATGTGGTCTATCCTAGAAAATGTTTCATGTGCACTTGAAAAGAATGTATATTCTACTTTGGGGTGAAATGCGCTGAAGATACAATTAAATCCATCTACTCTCATGTGTCATTTAAGGCTGCTCTTTCCTTGTT